TAAAAATCACTTAGAGCAAGTTGGCATTCGGTGTACAATATTTTAATCAGTTTGATGTAAAAAATGTTATTTTTCTTTTTTAAAAATACGTAAGTTTTAAATAATATACATGGCTGCCATCTTCTGTTTTAAAAGTAAAACTACATCTAAAGTTGAAAGGTCAATGTTGAACTAAGAAAAAATAGATAATTAAACCCCCACTATATTGTTCAATCATTTACAACAAGGTTGCCTATCCTTGGTTAGTCCAAAGTTCAAAGGGCTCATGCTTAGCAATATTTTATAAAAAAAGCAAATCTGGGCATGCAAAAAAACTGAATCAGTGATCTTGCATTTAATTACTGTATGCATAATTATCTTATATGTATGGCGTCAACCCACTGATTAAACAAGGCCACCATCTGATATTCTTGTCCATGCATTCCACAGCTAATGGAGAGCACTGGGGTAGAGACTAGGAAAAAAGTCCTAGCCATTTGCAGGACACAATATCAAGTTTAAAGCTACTTATAGAATGCATCCCATGTATTGGCTTTTGCTGTTTTACTAAATAATTATATTTTTAATTACATGTCTAACCTTCACGACACCTCTTATACTAAAAGCAAATCTGAAAATACAATTTCTTACAGAACTTGTTTTGTTCAAGACTCCCTACTTTGCTCTCTCAAAATAGATTACTACAGCATATTTTTTTCCTTTGTAATAAAACTTTTTTAAAGGGGTCAAAACATGAAGGATATTTCCTTCCAGATTCATGCTGGGAGTAAAAAATACAATTCAGTTGTCATAATAGAAGTTTATTTTTTTACAAATAACAAGTCACATAACATAATTTATATTCTTTGTTTCGACAAGTATTCTTACAACACCTGAGTTATTTAAATACTGAGATAGGGGGAAAGCCCCAATTTTCTAAGTGTCATAAATTAAAATTCAAAACAATATTTGCTCACAATTGGTCAGTTTTGCTTTTTTTCTTCTCACTGGATAAGCACTTCTACAGAAATGCTACAGAAATGGTATCTTCTTTGCACATTCTTACAAATATCCATAGTGCAGTTGCACACAATGTAGTCCCCAGCCTCCTTACAACCTTTAATACAGTGTTTCTCAACCTTGACAATTTTAAGGCATGTGGACTTCAACTCCCAGAATTCCACAGCCAGCATTGCTGGCTGTGGAATTTGGGGAGTTGAAGTCCACATGCCTTAAAATTGTCAAGGTTGAGAAACACTGCTTTAATATGATGTCCACAAGCCTTGTCCACTGAACTCAGTAGACCCAACTGCACATCCAATCTGCCAGACACCATTTCAGATTCCATTTTCAAATAACCATTTGAACTGTCAAACTAAACTGATGCTCCTTTGTCTCTGAGTGAACTTAGCTCCACATCAAAAGGAAACTCTCATATTTAAGTACAGTAATTGTATTAAATAGCTAGATAGTTACTTAGAACGGGAATTTGTATTGCTGTAGTGAAGGTACTGGAGAAGACAACAGGGATCTCTCCTATTTAAATACTTAATTTTATCTTCAAATTTTGAAGTGTAGACATTGATCTGGCTGTCAGAATTTAGAGCAGCTGCAGTAACGTTCCCTTGGCCAGAGATTCACCACCTCCTTATAATTCTGGGAAGGTTGATGTATTCAAACAGCTAGTCCCTAAGCAGAAGTTAGGAAGTGATGCCACAAGAACGACAACATCATATTGCATCAATCGACTTTCAAGTGAAAAACAAAATCACACAGCACAAGGCTAGACTATTCCATTTTGGCCTTTTTAGAAGCAAAGAAGAATCATTTTGATATATTAGTAACATGCCGAGGACGAAACTAGCTAAAGTAACACAATTAGAAGAGCGAAATGAGGGCTCCCCAGCTCAGGCTAATTGGGTCACAATTATGTTGAAAAGCTTTTTCTAGAGGGACTGTTATTTATTTATTTACTAATTTATACAGCTGCTCATGTCACAAAACCAGTGACTCTGGGAGATGGTACAGCAAAACTAAATACATAAAACAATGATCATCATTAAAAATTCTAACAACCAAGCTAAGAAAAATAGCAGGCAGGCAAAGAGATATTATTAATAATAATGGAGTTGCCTCACTAGCTCCCAGGCCTCCTGACAACCAAGTCTTGATGGAACATTGGAAGCTCAGAAATATGGAACCAACTTTATGTCAGGATGGACAACATGCGCGCCACAGCAGAAAAGGTCCACCACCTACGTCAGGGTATCTCCAACCTTGGCAACTTCTGAACTTCAAGCCATTGGGCTGGCTGGGGAATCCTGGGAGTTGAAGTCCCCAGGTCCCCAGGTCCCCCTGGCCTGGGGCCTGCCAAATGCAATTCCCAAGACAATGGAACCTATAAATGCCCTCTCCGCTTCCTCTGCTAGGACAGACCGATGTAATTGAGGAGAGGTGGTCACATGCCATGTAGGGCTTTAAAGGTCAACATGGATTGGACAATCTGGGAATCGGTGCAGCCTGTTAAGCAGAATATGTAATATGTGTCCTACCAGACTATAGATAAGATGCTTTAAGAATGATAATGCGGCCATAGAGAGAAAACTAAAGGTAATTTATTGGACAAAGCGAAGCAGATGCCTGTCGGCAATGTAGACTGGTTCAAGGTAACAGGGATGATTTGATCAAGCAGCATATTCAGCCTCTCTATTCAAAATAGCAATAAGGGCCATGCAGAGCAGTAAACATGGCAGTTTCTGTTTATCACAGCCCTGTTAGGTCAGATGAAAGATAACCGATGCTACTGGGGCTCCTCTAAATGTAACACAGCACTTTACAATATAGTTTCGTGAGGAAACTCAATGCCTCTTTAGCGGCATTTCATTTTATGCATCTCATCTAAGGACCTCAAATTTCTAGGCGTGCTTAAAGATTGCTCTTTTACAGGACTTGCAGAAAAGGCTAAACAGTATATTTTATTAGGAGGTTGAAAAACGCCTGCACAGCCATTGGAATGCACTGCATTTTGAAACATCAGTTGCATTAAACTGGAGGCTAAAAGCTAGCTATCATCATTATATTCCATAAGGGTTTGAACTGCAAGCATCTCAGAGGGGCCGATTCCTCTTATCTGAGCAGGCTACTGCCATCAACCATTTATGAGCCAAAGTTAAGCAAAACATCCTCCTAATTATTCACAATGGCGTATATAATCTTTTTACAAAATGGTGAGCATGTGGTATGGGTTGCGTTGGTGATCTGCACTAAGTTTAGCTTCATCCTCCACTGTTGCTCCAATGGGTCTCCATCTTTTCCTTTTAAGAAGGCTTGTGTATAATTTGAAATTATATGCATAGCATCCCTAAGCATGGCCCGAAGAAGCAACATGAAGACCGTGGGAACCACCAGCTGAATTTTCAGTAGGTTTAGGAGGTATAGATTAGACTTCCCAGAACAGTTTTCCACTTGGTCCTTATCTCGAACCAATGAGAAAAAGATAGATCTGCCATACTCACACAATTAACTCAATCATAGCTGCCAAGGCCAAGTTACACGGATCATCCTGAAGTACTACACACTTTTCAGTTACACTTTACTGAAAAGAGTAAACTAATTCACGTTAGGCAGACGTGGACCCCAGGTTGATGCAACCATAGAGTTTTCATACAATCTACAAGAGAGAAGGAAGAGACACAGAGAGCTTCTGAACAGATCAAATCTGATTATGCAAAAGAACGTCTTTGTGGATCCCACTCTAATTGCAAAGTATAGATAAAGAAAAGTCTTTGGGATTTGCTACCCCTGTACTCAAGTCCCATCTGATGCTCCATTGGTGCGCCAAAGAAAAGGGGAATGTGTACAACTTATCCATGATACAGAACAGAATTATTCAGATACATGGAGATGCTGCAAAGTTTGGCTTAAAAAGATATTTCCCTAGCTTTACTGAAAAGAACTGAGTTTCCTTTTGCTGATACAAGCATAACCGTTTCAAATGTTTAAACAGGATCTGTGATGTGAATAATGTGCTACACACTTAAGCTGACAGGCTTGATCTTATCAATATGATAATACATCAGTTCACCTAGTGAACTCTGGGAAATTTCATCCTGCAATAAATCTCTCCAGCAAATTCTCCAAATCTAGGCTTCATTTCCATAAAACAATCCCAAGACCTTCACACCAGCCAGAGGATGCAATTCAACTACTTAATACATCATTTCTTTCCAGATATAAATAGACTCCACATTGGCCAGATTTATCCTACACAAAATCAACTTGCAAAGTAGCAGCTGTGTGGGCCAGCCTTTGTGTGAATCTTTTAAAGGAAATTTAAAAAAGGAGATGTTAAAGGAAAGGCTGAAAAAGATGCACTTTTGAAAACGAGGGGAAGAGGGCACTGAAAGGAGTTCAAAATGTATCTTCCAGGATGGTCTTTTTTTTTTTCTTGGAGTCCTAAATAGTTTATATATAACAATGCCATTTGAATAAAGGAATTTTAAAGTCAAATTGTCTCCCCTTACATTCCTACACAGAGCCCACTGCATCAATTGGTATGAGTTTTCAATATAACATGTTATTTCATATTTAGATGGTGCACATGCCACAAAAAGCACTTTTCCCTTCTCACACATGTGATTTAGAACCCAGAATCGTAGGGTCTTCTAGTCCAGCTCATGCTTAAGGTCGATTTCTCCCAAAGAGTTACAGCTCTCTAATTTGCTATAATTTTTAATTCTGGCTTTCCAGCAGCCAACAAAATTTGGAGTAACTCCAGCCAACCAATCAACTGGCCCAAAACGGATGCAGAGCTTAAAATTTAAAATATCACTGTCCTTAGTAATTGGGGGGAAGTGGGAAAAAAGGCATCCTGCTAGCCAAATGGCTGGTATTTGTGTAACTTAAAGGGATATGCACTAAGCTACTCGTGCCCAAGAAGGAAGCAAGAATAACAACAACCGAAAATTAGAAGCCTTTCTTCATCGATTCCATCAAAACGGGGGGGGGGGGAAGGGGGGTAGGAGGGAGAGACAAATGCTGTTGTTACCTTAAGAAATGATCCCCCAGTCATTTAACGCTAGAGAGAAAAGTTGTCAGCCTGTGCAGGTCAGTTGAATAAGAGATCTAAGAAGCAGGTTGAATAAACATGCCCCTTCCCGGAATCCTTGACGGAAAAAACTACAGTTTCCCAGCAAGCACGCCTCTATCCGAGCTGGATTTCTCCCGAGAACATAGTGAGCAGCACCATGATACCGAATCCCGTCAACAGTCCGGCATTCTGAATCGCAAATGCAATCAAAGCACTTCCGCTCCTTTCGTCTTCTTTGCTGACTTCGTTCATCTCTGGGAACTTAGAGACCAAGGAAATTAGTTAGAGTGGCTTTTCTTTCTTTTTGCTGTTTTGTTTTGCTCTACAGCAAATGCAAAACTTTTCTTGCAAGTTTGTAAATCAAACAAGATTGATTCTAAACGGGCACGAGGCAGAATCAATCAGTCATTTCACAAAGCACGGATATTGTAAGCTGTGATCAGACATTAGGCAAAGGCTTATTAGTTCAGGGGGTCTTCAAACTTGGCCCTTTGATGATTCGTGGACTTCAACTCCCAGAATTCCTCAGCTAGGCACGCATGCCTGGCTGAGGAATTCTGGGAGTTGAAGTCCACGAGTCATCAAAGGGCCAAGTTTGAAGACCCCTGGCTTAGCTTCTCACAAATGAAGGCAAATATACATGACCCAGGATAATGTGGCAGGCTCCAATCTGAGGTTTACTCTTCCAAGCTTGCAGACTCGTGCTGGAACCCAACTTCAGGGAACGTCTCTCTACCAGTACTGTTCATGAAAGAGTCAAGATCTGTTTGTGCAAGAAGTCTTTTACCTCACCCAATGAGATTCCCACTACATAGGTTTAGGCTCTGACTAAAAGAAGCAGAATAGTCTTACTCTCCTGGCTAAAGGGGAATTATAGTTTTGCACCCAACCTATCCGAAGGAAACCAGGTGAAATTAGCTGGCTTCCTTTACCTGCCTACTACCACTTACCATGTCAGCCAAGGCAATGTAGAGAAACATCCCACCAGCTAGAGCGAAGATCCAATTGGCTGAGAAGTGGCTACCGGCCAATATCCCGAAGCCTAGGCCCAGGTAACAGCAGCAAGCTGAGAGGAAGTTGAAGAAGAGGGCTTGCTGGATTGTCATCCCAGCATTCAGCAGAATGACAAAGTCTCCTGCAAGGTGAACCACAATGCGAAAGGAAGTTAGAAGGAGGGGTTGCATTTGAAATGAACAGAATCAAAGATTGAAGATCTGCTGTCCAGGAATATTGATCCAGAAGCATTTTGCCTTTTCAAATCCTCTCTCTCATATTATCAACCCTATGTATTCTGCTGCTGATATATGTTTTGTTGAGATGACCAACGTCTTTGTCTAAGGCCAGGGGGGTCTTCAAACTTGGCCCTTTGATGACTTGTGGACTTCAACTCCCAGAATTCCTCAGCCAGGCACGCTCCCAGGAATTCTGGGAGTTGAAGTCCACAAGTCATCAAAGGGCCAAGTTTGAAGACCCCTACTCTATGGCCCTGAATCATCAAAATTGATATTTATGCAAAGAAATCTAATTTGACAGTATGTTAATACGGACGAATGCATATCCCTGAAGGACCCATCAATAGGACAACGAGAAAATTTCTTCCACCTTTTCTACGCTGTGTAGAATTTTTTAGAAATCTCTGTCATTGTTTTGCTGTGTTGTGTTGTGTTCCTACTTTTATTTCGATTGTTCCTTAAGAAGAATCCACTACACGCATCCCTAAAAGGAATTCTTCTGTATTTTTCCAGCTGTAAAGCAGAAATAAAAGGGCACATACCTAGCTCGTGTGGGAATTCCTCACAAAAAATGGCCACAGAGGTGCTGATGCCTTGAAAGACTGAGACAGTGAAGGAGGCGCCAATAGCCAGCCCATCAATGAAATTGTGAAGGCCGTCACTCAAGGTTATCATCCAAGCCAGTGTGCCAATGTCTGAATAACGCACCCCTTTCAACCAATAGCACGTGCTTTGAGATGCTTGGAGGTCCTGGAAAAGGATGATATTAAGAAAAGCTGAACATTCCTTATCATCTCATGACACGTGAATAAAAAATCCTATATGGACCTTATAGAACAGAGTATTTGTCGCTCGGCATTGAACTGTGGAGTCTCTGAGCTTGGTGGTTTTCTTACAGACGTTTCATTACCAAACTAGGTAACCTCATCAGGTAACATCATCAAACCCTCTATGGCAGGGGTCCCCAACCCCCGGTTCATGGACCAGTACTGGGCCGCAGCACGCCAGCAACCGGTCCGCACAAACAAGGAACACCCGATCTGCAGGATGCAGGCAGCACGCAAAACCACGCCCCCTCCGGTCCACGGAAAAATCTCTCTCCACGGAACCGGGCCCTGGTGCCCAAAATGTTGGGGACCTCTGCTCTATGGAACCTGCAACATAACATGTGATCACCTACCTACATTACCTCCCATGCTACAACAGGGGACATATAGGTATGTCCACTGTGAGAATATAGGTAGCAGTGGTAGTGTGTGTGTGTGTCTGTGTGTGTGAGAGAGAGAGAGGGGGGGAGGGAGAGAGACAGAGACACACAGAGGAAGAGGGGGGAGAGAGAGAGGGAGGGAGAGAAAGGGAGAGAGAGGAAGAGAGAAACAGAGAGGGAGAGAGGGAGAAGGAGAGACAGAGAAAGAGAGGGGGGAGAGAGGGAGAGAAAGAGGGAGGGAGAGAGAGAGAGGGAGGAGAGACAGAGGAAGAGAAAGGGGAGAGAGGGAGAGAGGGAGAGAAAGAGAGGGAGAGAGGGGGGGGGAAGGAGAGACAAAGGAAGAGAGAAGGGAGAGAGGGAGAGGGAGAGAGGGAGGGAGAGAGAGAGGGAGAGAGGGAGAAGGAGAGACAGAGGAAGAGAGAGGGGAGAGAGGGAGAGGGAGGGAGAGGAAGAGAGAGAGAGAGGGAAAGAGAGAGAGAGAGAGATAAGGGCTCACTGGCCCCCAAAGGGCCCCCAAAAGTTGGGCGACCCCAGTGTAATTATTCACTGACCTGAACAGACAAGGTGCTAACAACCTTCTGATCAGCAGAAGGATTCTTGCATTCCAGATCGCTGCTCTTATTAGGGATCATGTGATCCAGGTCTCCATTCTGCAGTTTTTCCGTGACGCCTTCTTCTTGGTCCTTTTTAGAAGGGAGGGACTCACTGCTGTAATGGCTGTGTCCGTGAAGGTGCTAGGGAATGCAGAGACAATTTCACCAGGCAGTTGTTCAAAAAGACACCTACGATGCAACCGCCACCAGGTCTGCGTTCTATTTCGTAGGCTTTTGTCCTGCCTTCCTGTGTAAACCCGACGATTATTTCCGTAATCATCACATATGCTGTAATATCTTTTGAAGGCGATAGGAAGGACCCACTCAAAACACTTGGAAAATCTATATTCAAACAAAAGAGGTCTAGAAACATGTTGGAAACCAGAAGGTGGGGCAACTGCACCTTCAAAGAGAAGACATTTCTGAGACTAAGCACGAGACGGGGGGGGGGGAATCTTTTCTCGCTCTCCGACAAGAGGATCTGCTGAGTAGGAAGGCTGGCTTGCAGACTTAACGAACCTGCCACTCCCTCAGATCACTGGATTCTAAGCTAGAGTTCTTAACATTGACCAGACATTTGAGTTACACCCAGAAAACATGCTGATCTTTTAATCCTGCATTAGGGTGACATAATCATGACACCATGATAATGGGCATGACAAATTAGCTGCCAGATTCTAACTAATGCTTCCAAAAGCTCTCCCAGGGTAGTGCCCAATGAAGGATATTGCAATAATTGAGACCTGATGCAATCCAGAGAACTTTGGTCAGGTTAAAGTGACAGGAATTGCCACCACTTGCAAACAACAGCGCATGAGATTCCAGGAGAGTAGCAGTCAAGAAGCCCTCCTAAACTATGGTTTTGATCTCTTGGAGTGAGCAGGTTCCTTTCCAAAACATTGTGGGCCACAAACCTTGAGGCAAGCGTTCTTCAAAGAACGCTGCCCTCTAATTTCCATTAAAACGCAATATATTCATCTCCACCTCGTATTTTTTCAAATACTTCTTTCTGAAAGTTCATGTGGACATTCATATTCAGCACTTTCACCTATCTGTATATTGGAACATGTAATAATTCTTCTGTCAGATATGATTTTTTTTTCTTTGTCGTTCTTTATTGACTGTTCCTTCCAATATCTACTCCACGGTTTGCTCAGCTGTTTTAATTCTGACGAATTCTACACTTGTTTTGTAGCTGTAATCAGTACTGAAATCTTGAAAAGGGGAGAAACTAGGAACTCAAACATACAGGCAAGATCTATTTCATATTCTGCACAAAATATATCCCATATTAAAACTGGGAAGGAAACTCCTTATTTCTATAGGTATTTTTTTTAGTATTTTTCTGTTGTAATTGATATTAAGCTCATGGATTAAACTTCCAGAAATTTTTTTGAGGGTGTAACAAAAATATAATTACAAAAACTTCCATGAAAAATAATGGCAGACGGGCACTTTGGTTTCTTCAAATGTTTATTACAATCTTTTCAGAAAATAAGCAGGGGCAGATACCTTCTGTGAAAAACAGTTGACTACATGCTTCTCAAGCTTGGCAACTTTTAAGACAGGATGGACTTCAGTTCCCAGAATTCTCCAGCCAGAGGAATTCATTTAACCATGCTGGCTAGGGAATTCTGAGAAATGAAGTCCACCCATCTTAAAGTTGCCAAGTTTGAGAAACACTGACCTAGATCCATAGCATGTAATCAAGGAAGGAGTGGAATTATCCTTGGATAAATGATGTAACAGTAAAGTCAAAACAGGACCGGCTATTGTTCTACACAAACATCTCAGAACACACTGTAACAAACTGAGATCTCTCCCATGGACATTTTATCAGGCAAATATTAAAAAAAAGTTTGCAAATAATAATCTGGCAGAATTTCAACTCCTAATATATTTCGAAGAAATAGCAAATCTTTAGTTCCTTATTACTTGATCATATTTGATGCTCATGAAAGGGGGGGGGGACTAGAGGGGACATGATAGCAGTGTCCCAGTATTTGAGAGGTTGCCACAAAGAAGAGGGGGTCAACTTATTCTCCAAAGCACCTGAAGGCAGGACAAGAAGCAACGGATGGAAGCAAATCAAGGAGAGAAGCAACCTGGAATTAAGGAGAAACTTCCTGACAGCGAGGACAATTAACCATTGGAACAGCTTTGCCTTCAGAAGTTTTGGGTGCTTCATCACTGGAGATTTTTTAAGAAGAGACTGGACAGTCACTTGTCTGAAATGGTATAGGATCTCCTGCATGAGCAGGGCTGGACTAGAAGACCTCCAAGGTCCCTTCCAGCTCTCTTCCAGTTGACTGATTGATTGAAAATTCAAATAAGTGCCAAAAGAAAAGGAACTAAAGATTATGTCAGGAACAACTGAGGCTCAAGTAACTGAAGGAAAACAACCCTCTACTTTCCTCACCTGGTCCTTTTGTTTGAGGAGCATCTTCAGTACTTTCTCAGTGAAAAAAAACAGATAAAATCCCCCAAAGACAACAGCAGATTTGGAGACATAATCATCTTTCTGTGGATTGAACCCAAAGGCCTGGAGGAGAGGGGGAGAAAAGGGGTTGGCTATCAAAAGCATAAACAAACAAACAAGCAAACAAACATCCTTTCTATCTAAAGTTCTGTCTTCTTTTCTTATCACCTCTAAGGGTAGACCAAAGAGGATCTAAAAAGCTCCAGACCTTGAGAAACTACCCAAGAAATGTGTTTCCTGATCATGAGTGGTAACAAATTCGTATTACTACAGCATGTCCCTAAGTTAACCCACAACAGATGTCATCTTATCTTGCTCAGCAACTAAAAAAATGGAATGTTTAGCTATCTTTCATGTTGATGTGTTGAAATTTCTGCTTCTGATGACTGCATTTTAAACTTCTTGTCTTTAATTATGCTCTACCTTGTGCACAATTCTAAAATATGCTCAACCATACAATTGAGCACTCTTCTGTAGGAATACATTCCTTTCACATGGAGACCATGTCCAAGAGAAAGCCAGACGTGAAGTCTGCTAACATCCTGGGATTAAATGTAGAAGGTATATTAAGCAAGCAAAATCAAATAATTTAGCAGATGTGTTCCGTTTGCAAACTGAAGTTGCATAGTTAAAATTTGAGTAAGATATGGGTCTATATCAAATAGCAGACCTGGATATAGATTCTCTTTGGCTCCTTAGCTGGCTTTGAGAGCAAAAAAAAAGCATCATTTGACATTTCAATTCCAGGTGACCCAGCTGACATGTCATACACAGTATTAGTGTGCGAAAGACATGTTTCCTATTCATTTCAGAGCAAATAAGCCATGGATCCGGCATGTTCTCGTGATGAATACAGGCGGATCTGAAAGATCTGGAGCTAGCTGGTGCTCTGTGCTGAAAAACCTTCATCACAAAAGCAGCATGAAAAAGACTTCCTTTTTATGTCCCAAGCCTTTCTCCATAAGAATCTATATAGAAGGTGGAGATCATTTTCCCACTATTAGTCTTCCCTTAACACCTTCCTTGGGAAATTATGATGATCAACATATGTGCTGCCAGAGCATTTTGCAGGAAATTAGATCGATCACCCTTCAGCTTAAACTAGCACAACTGACCTTGGTTTTCTGTTGATATGGGATTCCTGCCCTGTTAGATTGGCACAGACCTTTTAGTCTGTGTTCCTTCACTTAATTGACATTTGTTCTCCCGAGGCCAGATCCCAGATTGAGTGAATTTACTCTTACATGAAAAAAAAAAAAACCCTTCCCAAAAGACAAACACCTAAATTAATGGTCCATTGTTTCCTTGTGCGAACAGCTCCACAACCCAATATTGCTAACAGCTCCACAACCCAATGTTTGGATGGCGTACATATTTCTACCCCGAGTACAAATGAAGGGAGCTCGGTGGTTCTGTATCGCTTCTCCTGCAAGCGGTTTAACAGCGAGCACAAAGTAGGTCACACTGCAGATACCACACACAAGCATCGACAATTGCATCACCCTGGCCCGGAAGGCCCTTGTCCTACCTCGGGAATGAGCTGGAAGAGGGCATTGGAATAAAGAGTACCGATCGCCAGAGCTATGAAGTAGAGGAGCAGCCGCTTGTAAAAGGTCTTCTTCATGAAGGGAACCACACTGGCCCCGATCAAGGAGCAGAGGGAAATGACGGTCACACAGAGGAAACCGTATCCCCAGACTGGAGTGTGAGGGTCAGCCCCGTCCCCAATGAAATCACAGGAGGGAGAAAAGACACAGGAGGAGGGGGGGAAATGTATCAGAACGTACAAAAATGGATTCACACCAAGGGATGGAAAGGGGAGAGAGGGAACAGGAGACAGGGAGAAGGGGAGAGAGAGAGAGAGAGAGAGGAGAGATTTATTAATGATTGATATGCAAGTCAAGATTGATTCAGGCATGCTTGAAGCACTCTTGGGCCCTGTAGCACTATGGAAAGCTCCTTCCAACATGGTCCAGGCGCAGGGGTAGGCAACCTTGGCTCTTTTATGACTCGTGGACTTCAACTCCCAGAATTCCTGAGTCAGCATGAGGGAAACTTTGGCCCCCTCATGACTCATGGACTTCAACTCCCAGAATTCCTGAGCCAGCATGGCTCAGCTTGGAAACCTCTCCCTTTCCCCTCAGCATGGCTGGCTCAGGAATTCTGGGAGTTGAAGTCCACCAGTCATAAAAGAGCCAAGGTTACCTACCCCTGGTCCAGGAGAAGGGCCTTCTCTGCCGTGGCTCCTGCCCTTTGGAGCATCTTACCCCCGGAGGTGAGGTTGGCTCCCATTCTCCCAACCTCTGGAAGAACCTGAAGACCTGGCACTGCCAGATGGCTTGGGGCCCCAATGAGAGAGCATCACCCTGAAGGTGGTTCATGAATTAAGTGGCCATCCCATCGCCTTCCCAGGCATCCCGTTCCCTCTCGCCCCATTGTTCAACTATAATTTAATTTTGATTGGGATTTCCATTTTTATTGTTTTGGAAACATTTATCTGTTAGGATGCTCACGTTTTTAAAGGCTGTAAGCTGCCCAGAGTCGTTTTGATGTGAGAGGGGTGGGAAATAAATAAATTAAATTAAATAAAGAAATAGGGACACAAGGGAGGGGAAGAGACCCGCAGCAGGCAATGAAGATCAACAAATATAACCTCACTATAAGGGGTCTCTAGTATTAATCCAGTAATTTGCACCAGATTGGAAGTTTGGCTAATTTTATGGCAAGGGGCCTGCTCACCACAACCCAAGTCGTGGTGTTCAGATTCGTGCTGAAGCTTTACGTCTCCAGCCAGGTAGTCGGACATTTTTCCCAAATTTGTTCGGCACGTAAAACTCAGGAAGGAGACCAAATGCCAGAGCCCAAGAGCGATACAGGCAAAACACAAGCCATTCCTTGCCTGTGTGTGTGTGCTTCTCTATTATAGGACAAGCACACTGCTAAAATATTTGTTGCCGAGGCATGGAGATTCTTAACAACTGATTGGCACCATCCTATTGCAACAGTTTTTACAAGACAATTAAACAATGGAGATGGCACATTTACAATTATTTCTGTTCCTGTTGGATCACAAAAAACATGTTTTAGTTTTCAAGCAACAAAACATTAAGTTTACGGTTTGGGAACAAAAATAGCCATGAACTCTATGAAAAAAGGATTACACAGAACCAGGCTATAGACAGCCTGGCATTATCCATACAAAATGAAAGTTGAAAGGATTCCGAATGAAGGATATGGATTTCTTTTTACTACTTTCTTTTTTTTCTGAATGAGAGAAGCCAGTTAGTAAGATGACTGGTACAGAGACTAATAATAATAAAGTTGGAAGGGACCTTGGAGGTCATCTAATCCAACCCCCTGCTCAGGCAGGAAACCCTATACCATTTCAGACAAATGGCTGTCCAGTCTCTTCTTAAAAACTTCCAGTGTTGGAGCATTCACTGCTTCTGGAGGCAGGTTGTTCCACTGGTTAATTGTTCTAACTGTCAGGAAGTTTCTCCTTAGTTCTAGGTTGGTTCTCTCCTTGATTAGTTTCCATTTGTTGCTTCTTGTCCTGCCTTCAGAGGCTTTGGAGAATAGCTTGACTCCCTCTTCTTTGGGACAGCCCCTGAGATATTGGAAGACTGCTATCATGTCATCCCTTGTCCTTCACTTCATTAAACTAGACATACCCAATTCCAGCAACCGTTCCTTTTATGTTTTAGCCTCCAGTCCCCTAATCATCTTTGTTGCTCTTCTCTGTACTCTTTCTAGAGTCTCAACATCTTTTTTACATCGTGGTGACCAAAACTGGATGCAGTATTCCAAGTGTGGCCTTACCAAGGCATTGTAAAGTGGTATTAACACTTCACGTGATCTTGATTCTGTCCCTCTGTTAATGCAGCCTAGCACTGTGTTGGACTTTTTGGCAGCTGCAGCACATGGCTGGCTCATATTTAAGTGATTATCCACTAGGACTCCGAGGTCCCTCTCACAGTTGCTACTATTGAGCAAAGTACCACCTATACTATGCCTGTGCATTTGGTTTTTCTTGCCTAAATGTAGAACCTTACTTTTTTCACCATTGAATTTCATTAAAATAGTCTTTTGCAAAAAGGGCAAAATTAAATCTCATTCCGATTCTCACCTTTGTCTGAGAAACATAGTTAGCTATGCCACCAAAGCTTAGCCAGAATGTTATGCCAGAAGACAATTATCGCTTTAAAGTCTGCAACTAGAGTTCATGGCTATATTTAAGGCATCCCAAAACGTACAATCAAAAACCTCAATTTACTAAAGATTAGATCTCACGCAGCTCCGAGAAATATCCTCCATTTGTGAAAATAAACCAATTACTGAAAGAGAAACCAATAAGGAAACCGGAGAAATCAAGATAAAAGGATGTCCTCCCATGTACTGGTGTCTTATTCCTTTCCTTTTACAAAAATGACCTTTATTGTGCTCCACCTACGTTTAACAGGCCGAAAAGACACTGCAGGGCTAGAAAACCTAGAGTTAGGTCAATCTGCCCCTCATTCTAATAATGCTCACTGGAAATGTAACCAAGCTAGCTTACATTTATGGTCAAAGCTTATTAAGAGGCAGAATCCTTCAAGAACCTTCCACTCATAACATGCACTATGAAACAAAAAAAAAATCACACTGTTTTTTTCTGGAATGGAGAGCTAAGCATCGCACCATTGAGGGGACCTGAACGTTGCCTTCTAGATTTTTGTCCTGTGAAGCGGCCAACGTGTCCCATGTGCAGGCACACAAATCATCATGCACATGGCTGGACAAACATGAAGCAGAACCTTCCTTCCTCCCTTTATATTTTTAGGAAACCTCCCTGTTCCCCAGAGGTGAAAAATCCAACTTCAAAAGCCACTGAGGATTCGGTATAGCCTATCGGGTACCAGAAGATAAATTGGTGGAGTGATGGTGATGGGAACCTGTGAGCAGGTGAGGTTTGTCTTACTGCACCTCTGGGATGAGCTGGAACAGGGCGTTAGAGAACAGTGTTCCGATGGAGAGCGCGATGAAATAAGTTAGGATTCGGGTGAAAAAGACCTTCTCAGTGCAGGGCACGATGAAGACTCCAAGGAGCGAGGCAAGGTTAATCAGTGTGACACTGAGGAAACCAAAACCCCACACTGTAAACAAGAAGAAAGAAGGGCACGTTTACCCAAATCATTGAAAACTGGGAATGGGCCTTTAAACACAGGGGATGTCGGAAAGGTCTAAGCCAGGGGTCTTCTTCAAACTTGGCCCTTTGATGACTGGTGGACTTCAACTCCCAGAATTCCTCAGTCGGCCATTTTGATGAAACTGCGGGCTTGGATCCAGACCAGGGGTCTTCAGACTTGGCCCTTTGATGACTTGTGGACTTCAACTCCCAGAATTCCTCAGCCAGGCACCACAAGTCATCAAAGGACCAAGTTTGAAGACCCCTGGTCTAAGCTAATCCCACAAAACTTCTTTTGCAAGTTGACTTGGAAGCTTTTAACGAGCAACTCATCCAATGAGTTGGCTAATTCCCCCAATTTTTCCAGGGGATGGAGGAAGCTGTTCCATCTTACACTCAAACCTAATCCATGAACAGTGTCAAAAGATCAGACAAAGGCAGGGGAGTTGACATGTAACCTGACCAGGCTGGAGCTTGATACGTTGAAAAATAAAGTTCTGATGGAAAAGCTGAACGTGTATTTTTGAAAGACTAAAAACGTTCACCACGATGTCATCCAAGTTAAGTCAATGAGTAAAAGTTTGGCTTGGATGGCTCGACTTATAGCCAAAACAAACCTGCCATGGTAGCGTGACCGGCAAAAAAAAACAATATGGGTTAATTATTTTTTAAGGAGAAAGTTGGATAAAATATGTCAAAACTGTGGGCCTAGTTATTCTGCTTGCAGACATCTGTGCAAGATAGGAATCTTGCTCAGATCATTTCAGATCTTGTCTATAACTTCTTTAGCATCATATTTACAGATTCCCCAATCCACCAAAACAATGGGGACAACATTTTTGTACATCCCTTTGTTGCTGTTTTTTTTTTAAAAAAAAATTGGGAGATTGAAAGGATTAAATGGGTGGCTTAAGCCTGCAAGGTTTAACACCCATTAATACCCCAAATTTCCATTTAAAACATTGGATCTAAGGGACCAAAACAGGCACCATGGTTTTTGCATGAACTCAGTCTCCTGGTGATTGGCCCAAAATCACCAGTCAGTTTTCACATCTAAGGTGGGACTAGAACTCACCTGGTTTCTGGGCCAGCATCTTAATTCCCTACACCAAACTGACTCGCCAAAGTAGACACTTACTTGACATTAAGTAGCTGAAAAGCTATCTGTGCAGCAGGCTCAGAAGCTTCCTGAAAAACCAGTTTTGGAAAGCATCATACACATTTTTTTTAAATTAAAAGAGAATAAAGTTTTGTACTTCCACTTTTATCCTCTATTTCTTGCAGATTCTGTGCGACAAGACTAACCCTTACAGCACGGAGGCAACTGAAAAGGCAAAACCCGATTAGAAATAGTACTTTGCTATCCAGATGGACACCAGTTCTCCACTCAACAACATCTTGAGAAGGTGATTAGGAAGATCGAGGCTTAAATGCCCCGAAGGGACAAAATAAAATGGGTTGAAGGCACAGACCTTCTGTAGAACTTGGCTTCCCTTCCTTCGTCCATTCTTCTTCTTCCTTCTCCAGGTTCTCCGGCATGCATGCCTTTGTCTCCAGCTGTTGCAAGATAGTTGGGCAGAATTCTTTGAATTCGCTCTGCCCAAGATGGGACGATTCACTCAGGTTGTGTGTGGCAAAGAGTTCTGAAGAACTGAAGCACTACAAGGCAAAAAAAAAGGTTGAGATTTCCACAGTGGGTCTTGTGCTTCTTCAGACACACAAGGTGAGGCACTCTCTCTAATCTCCTTTCCTTAACTCAGGGGGTCTTCAAACTTGGCCCTCTTATGACTTGTGGACTTCAACTCCCAGAAATTCCTCAGCCGGGCACGCATTCCCCAGGCTGGCTGGGGAATTCTGGGAGTTGAAGTCCACAAGTCTTAAAGCGGCCAAGTTTGAGGACCCCTGCTCTAGTGGTTAAGGCTTAAATTCCTAGGAAAGCACCGTAAGGCCTCTATTGCATGTCAATCGACACATCCGCAAAAGTTCTCCGGATAGGCTACATTAAAATATAATAATTTGGGGGAGGGTTAAGATCCTTTATAGACCTCCCTAAAATAAAAAAAACAGGACAGAGTCATCATGGGAAAGGGGAGGGGATTACCGAGGAGAGGTTCCGCTGCTGCTGCTGCCGCCGCGGGTGACTGACATTGTGGCGTTCAATGCCCACATCCAGGCGTGTCAATAGAGATTTCAACTGCGGTAAGGTGAGCCTGTCCTCTTCGCCATAGCGGAGGAAAAGGTCCTGCAGAAAGGAGGCTGCTGTGATGGGAGGTGGAGCCAAGGCTTTCGTGTCAGCCCATGTCCACGAAGTCAGAAATAGGAGATATAGTTGCATCACCAAGGTCCATCTCCAACACCTTCCGTTCCAAAACATGGTTGAAAAGCTGAAAAGACAGACCCGTGCCCTTGGATTAGTACGGCTCCTGGCAACCCTTGATCTGCTCCTCGCCGTATTTATTCGACAATTTTTGTGACTTTCAAAGGAACAGCAAAGTATAGCGAAGGAATAACTGGGCAACGGAGAGGGCCCCCGCAGATTGTTTGGGGGAAGAAAGAGCCCCAGCGGGATAATGAAAAGTGAGGGACAGCCACATCATTCCTAAGGGCAGAGACGGGATTTCCCCGATATATTATTCCATTTGCATCCCGGTTTTAAATTCTATTAAATCTACACTTGTATTTGTTTTATTTTATTTATCAAATTTCTATGCTGCCCATCTCCCGCCCCCACACAAGATGATTCAGGGCGGCTAAACTTCTAGATTTAAGCTACAGCTTCTCTGCATTTGCTATCACAAACCAGCAATGCAGGCAAGAGGAGCTTTAAGAAGTCACACACAAAAAAGACCAAAAAAAAAGACCACGCAACGTGAGGAACACCAATTGCTCAAGTCTATAACCTGTTCTATCAAATTCTGTCTGCAATGCCTTTGAATGCTCCAGGTTATCAGGTGCTGTGCAGAATCAGGCAGATCTCAACTCTAATTCGACTGAATTTCACCACGTTTAATTTACATTTCCTAAACTGGAAATCTAACCACTGCTTATAATTCATAATGCAAACTTTAAAAGGGGAACACACCATGAATAAAGAAACTCGGTGTCGGGAACTGAAAATGTCACTTCAAAAGGGCACCTTGAAGAAGACTTATTGATCAGGAAGGGGATTTCCTGGACATGGAAGATAAAATGAGAACCTGTGTCTACAAACATGGCTCTGGGTCCATGTTTCTTAATTTTGCAAGGTAGTATTCCGGGCACAGAGGGCTTGTTGACCTCTCTTGTGGTTTTTTTCTGGGGTAAACAGTCCGTGTCCTCTATTGATTAAGCAATCCATGTTGATCACCATGAGACAAATTCCTTCAATCAACACGGGCTTTAACCCTAAATACAACTAACCTCCAAACTAATCCAACTGTTTGAGATGCATTGACCAACTGTGTCATTCTTGCCAGCAGCTTCCAAAGTGAAACAAAGCCACAGAGTACATATTGTCCCAGAGTCTTATTCTGCTTTCTTAACCGTTTTTGTTGACTTGTATTATATTTTATGGATTTTTTTTTTGCCCTGCATCATTCCATTTGCAAATTATCTGGAAACTGTGGTGATTCAGAAAGACACCACCCCTAACAAAAAAAACCACAAGGCTTAGCTTACAAAAATCAAGCAGAGAAAATGTCTTCAAAAATTTCTTGCTCTCTAACTAGTGCTGGGACAAAAGCTATAATTAAGATCCATGTCATTAGGCCCAAACAAGAGAATTTGTGTGTGAGAAGCACAATAATTATTTACTCTAAGTTTAAAATAACTTTATAACTTAAATCATAATAAATATACAGAGAACTGTTCGGGGTCTTGTATCAGGCGCGAATAATCAGGACCACACAAGTTCTAGTTAAGCTGATATATTGCTTGTGCCTATACACAAGAATCTAGTCCATTTAACAGTTAGCACTAAACTGGCGCTAGATAAAAGTTAACGGAATTCAGGAGGTGTTGAACTTGGACCACTTGTGGGAGCATAAGGATTCTAGGCTGTTTCCTCTTTTGACTCCAACCCCAGGCTCTGTCTCTCCTTCTCCTTGCTGCCCGTTATCTAGTTTTCCTATTGCTGATTAGATTCACCGCCAAATTCTGGGATGCAATTTAGAAACCTACTTAAAGGCCATTCAAAACCAAGGACATGGTGTCCTTTCTTATTCTGCATTGCTTTAAAGCTCCTAGAAAGACATGCAGACAATTGGTGAGAAGAGAATCCTGTTTAGTATATGAATAGGCAAGACTCACTTTTAAAACAAATGTACTTTCTCCAAGAGGTTAGGCTAAAATCTGGCTGGCTGGTTTGTTATCCGGTTTGTCAATCAAATCTATCCATCTCTGCAGGCACATATGTTTTCAACACACACACACACACACACACACACACACACACACACACACACACACACACACACACACACACACACAGTCTTTGTCTCTGTCTGTCTTTGTCTCTTTTTCTTGTGGGAAGTCAGCCCCCCAGAGAAGGAAATATTAAAAGGGCAGAAAAATATATTTCCTCAAAGGATGTTAAAGAGGCAGAAAAGCATGCCCACTTTTTCTTAATAGCCCCAAGTCTCCCTCCCCCAAGCAGAAACCAGCTCTGTAGAAATGCAGATGTAAACCATTCAGGAAAGTTGAAGCTAGAAGATTAAGAAGACAAAGACACCTAACATCGACATACCCCACCCAAACTCTAAGACAGGACATAATAGGATTAACTCACAGATGCCAAAGGGTACACCCAGACTCAGGTCAGAATACATGACACAAGAAATACAAAGCCTCAGACAGGAGCAGGAAACAACTCCAAACAAAAGGCTCCAGAGGGTATAGAAACCCACTCCCTACATGTGCTCACTCTCTCTTTTCTGCCAGAGCCATCTTTCTGTCTGGCTCTCCTCTTCAATAAACTGCAACCTTCTTTCTAAAGCAGTCGCCATGTTGTTTATTCCCAGCTTGGACTGAACCATGATGAAGACTTTTCCTTCAACACTCTCTCTCTCTACACACACACACACACACACAGAGAGAGAGAGAGAGAGAGAGAATATACTATCTTTGTATGTATGTTTTCTTGAACAAATGTGGAGGAGATGATAGACTTAAAACTTGTTCCCAAACCAGAACAATCATTCATGCTGTCCCTTGGAAGCCACCTAGACATAATCTGCTATCCCTATACCTTCCACAGAAAATACTTTAAAAACTCAAAAACTCTCTTCTATAGTTAAGCTCAATTTCTGGCAACTGTGCAGACACATCCATATTGTTCCCTCAAACTATCTTTGAGCCGGTTTTTCTTTCAAAATACCCGGTGGGCTGGCTTTTGCTCCTAAGTAAATAGGAAATACATACATCAACCCCACTGCATATGACCTACAAAAGTTCTGCATTTCTAGACCCATTTGATAGGCTCATAGCCAGAATCAATAGGGATTTCTGCTGACAGATTTCAAACTTCAGTCACATGAGTATGACTCAGAGAAGGTCTGGATCACAGCCCCAAAGGAAGCTGATAGTGGGAAAGGCTGAAAACCAAACAAAAAAAATCTCTTTGCAACTCCCATAGAAAAGCAAATGGGATCCGATGGGCAGTCCTAATATACCCTGTCTAACAAATCCAACAAAGTCCCCCCAAAATTAAACTAGATGCTCCCACATTTGCATGAATTTGTTGCTCATTCATTCATTTATTCAATTTCTACAGCCATCCATCTGAACCAACGACTCGGGGTGGCTTGCACTTCCAAAACTATAAAAACAATTTAAAACATTTAAAACAATAAGCATCCAAAACACAGCAGCAGAAATAATTAACCAATGAACAGTAAAGTCAAAGAACGGTGTCCTTAGCATATTCAGTGGATCTCTGGGCTTGGATACACAGCCACATTTTAAAAGATTTACAAAAGAACAGCAGGGCTGAGGCCATTCTAATCTCCAAGGGGAGGACATTATGCAAAGCAGGGGCTACAGAAGAGAAGGTCCATCTTCTGGTTTCTGATGGGATCTGCTGCTATCAGCTCCACTGAATTGGACGGGCAGAGACTCTTGGAAAAAGATGGCCCTTTCATTACTACCAGTCTCTCTGAATTCCATCACCAATTATCAGACTGTCGCAACTCCTCTATTGAGGGGTACTCACAAAACTTAACGTTAAGCGAAGATAGATGGGCCTTTTCTAGAGTCCAATTTGATGCCTTTATTCACAGAGACTTTGTCCATGTGGATCCAGGGAGGAAGAAATGCTCACCCATGTCCTCAAATCAATGCCCCTAGGACACCCTCAAACGTGCTCTGATTTCCCCAATCATTTCCCAATACAAGGGCCGTACAGGTAAATTTTATGTTGGTTATTTTTAAGGGATGTTAACCCTACACTCACAGATCAGGTGGCTAAATATTTTTTACCAAGTTACACGACTGTGCAAACATTTTAAATTATATATGCTCTTTAGAAGGCCAGATCCTGAAGTTGAAACTCAAGTCCTTTGGCCACCTAATGAGAAGGAAGGACTCACTGGAGAAGAGCCTAATGCTGGGAAAGATGGAGGGCAAGAGAAGAAGGGGACGACAGAATGAGGTGGCTGGATGGAGTCCCTGAAGCAGGAGGCGTGAACTTAAATGGACTCCAGAAGATGGTAGAGGACAGGAAGGCCTGGAGGAATGTTGTCCATGGGGTTGCGATGGGCCGGACACGACTTCGCAACTAACAACAACAATGCTATTTTATTGGCCCATTATTATTTTTCCCTTCCCTAATAACTGTTCTAGACTATTTCTCCTTTTGTGCTAATTCTTTGATTGTAAAGACTGGTCAAAGACTGTAATAAAAATACTCGATTTGATAGCCCCTCAGAAAACCTCATCCCAAGTGACACAGGTTGTCTTTAAAGGCGATTAACAGCACCAGGAATTGCACCCAAAAACATACCGGTAAGTCAATGCAGCACACACAGTAGTGGTGTAACATCTGCCGTATATCCAACATCAATGACTACTCTCTGCATTCTGCACCAGTTGAAGCTTCCCACTGCTCTTCAGAAGCAGCCCCACGCACAGCGCATTGCAGTAATCTTATTAAAAAGGGATCGGGCATTCCCATCGTCTTAAAAGCTTAGGCCCATTTTGGGACTTTGCTTTCAGAAAGTTATCAGGAATTCTTTCAAGCACAGTTGTTTTACAGGGTGGAGAGACGTTAACACAAGCCTTTGCACAAACATAGCCTTGGGTGGAATGACAGATGAATTTAAATTACTATTTTCTTAAGCTTACTCCAGGGCAGACTTGTTTAAAAAAAGACGTAATGGCTGCCTGCAATTGTTAGCGAACCATT